TAATATGAATAATTTTTTTTTTCTTTTAAATGAGACTACCTAGTTAGAGGTATGAATGGGAACTTGAAGTTTTGTGGGATATAACCATTGAGTATGGGTACATGTTTCAGTAGTTCATTCAAAACTGGACTGCTTTGGAGAAGCAAGATAAATTTAAAGAAGTGTGTAATTGTGTACATCTGTGTATTGCATTTGCACCTGCACATGAGAAATTAAGTGGATAATTGATTTGAAGAGTGAGATCTCAGAGACCATGTTCTATGGTGGCATGTTCTAACTGGCAAAAGGCAGAGTTCTGTCTCCTGCATGGGGCAGATAGTACTCACCAGTCTTACTTTCAGACCATGCTGCAGTGGGGAGGGGTGTTCAGTAGCCTTAGGGATGAGGCTGGAGTGTCTGGACCCCAGCTGTCACCAGTACAGGCTTTGCGTGCCATGCAGTACCCTATACAAGTGGCAGTGCCATCAATAGAAAGGATGGGAAATAATTTTCTCACTCTCGGGGCAATCTTATTCATTTACTAATGAGAGGGATCTGGAAAAATTGTACCATGGGGCGACAGAGTATAGTGATGTATTTATAATGTGTTTGTGGAAAGACAGAACAGTTCAGGTAGTGAGTAAAAATACACTCTTATTATTTCATGAGGTGCTGGGAGCCTGTTTGAAGTCTTGGTGTTTTAACAGCACTGCTCAGAAGATTATTCAATAATTTAATATAAATTTTTCTTAAAAATCTGAAAATACCAAACTGTGATCTGTTCATGGTAGGTACTTGGAGCTGGCTGCTGACCCCAGCTCTGGACCAACACAACAGCAGTGTTGTATAGGCTGCAACTTGCAGCCCTCGGGGTGTTCAGCAGTGCAGCGTGGCTGCAGCCCTCACTTCTGCCTACTGCAGAGGTCAGGGCTTGTCTGCCTGATGAGTTCAGACCAGGCCCACTCAAATTCATCTTCACCTAATGCCTTCTAAGCACATCATTGACATTACTGCTTCCATACGATACTTAGTTTGTAAAGAAAATCATCTTCCCCTAGGGAAGAGGCTATGTCATCTTCTCAATATAGCCGGTATCTTGCATATCATGGGTGCTGCTGGAATCTAATAATAATTAAATGTGACACTTCAGGGGATCAGCACAGCATGAAACACACTCTACGTGGGAGCTTGTTACAAATAAGTGCATCAGCTTAACTCTCAGCTAGAGCTGCCATAAATTGGTGAGCACAGATGTCTGATCTGTCTAACTGTGTGGCTTTAGTTAACAGTACCAGCTACAATTAGACACTAATTGCGCATTCGCTGGGTATGAAAAAGCATCTCCCTCTCATTAAACTTTATATTCATATTGTTTTCCTTTGGGAACAACTCATTATGCTGCCCTGGGATTCCCACTGCTCTGATGAGAAGCAGCAGTCAGCAGGGGTCACAGTGGAAATTAATAGTCCAGAAACAGCAGGTCCAGCAGACACAAAAGGGCATAAAGCAAACGATGTGATCTAAAGATCTGTTGTTCTGTTAATCACTCAGCCCAAGGAGAGATAAGCCTATTGCCAGTGGCCCAGTGTGGGATAGTCCAGCTGTGAGAATTCCTGGCATGGAAAGAAGCACACCTTCTTCATGCACTGAATTAGCATTCTTGATAAGGCAGAAATGTAAGTCAGCGCAGACCATCCGCAATTTGTCTACTTCACAGGTGTAACAGAAGAGCAGAAATGAAGAGGGAAGGCTCTGAGCTCTCCCAGTGGGGCACAGGGTGGACAGGGAGGGATGAGAACCTAGCGCAGGGCTATGTTCTCCCCATCTGCATAGTAAAGAAAGACACAGGTGAAGCCCAAATGCACCATTTTACTCCATACCCTGTGAGCAGCTCAAGATGGGCTGTATACAGAGATCCTGAAGGTACAATTTCTGTTGCAAATTGCAGTGGTGGTTGCCTGTTTATGGATATGCAATCGGTTTCTTTTTCTCTTTTGGGTGTTTGTGCTCTTTGTGATGATTTTGGAATTACACTTGTGAAGTAAGAAGATGCAGCGGGCAGTAATACATATAGACAGCTTCAGTGTATCAGTATGTTTGCTGCTGTGTCCTTTATTCTTACCCAATTAATACTGAGTGCACTTATATCCATGCAGCTGTAACGATCTATGTCTTGGAAGGAACACCTCCAGCACGCATTTACCAAGTCAAAGCAGCTGATCCTGAAAATGCTAAACTCAAAGTAAGTTGTATTAAAGAGAAAGACCCCAAACCCAGAGATGATATAATCCATTGTATCTGAAATGCTAATTTCCAGCATCTTTCAACAACTTCCTTCCTTATCAGGAAACCAGGAAAAGGTTCAGTTACAAAAAATGAAGCATTTTCAATAACAAACTAACAAACCCCAGTTTCAATGTTTGATTGTATTTTGAGTTCTCAGCCCTCTAAAATTAAGGACATTGAAGGCAGAGTGTGATATAATTAATCAGAGATACGGTAGAAATTGTCTCTTTTTAAAAAAAGTGGCTTGCAGAACATTTCTTGTAGATGAGAGTAACTAAAAGCAAGTAAAAATGTTAACCTATATCGCAATGTAAATTCTTTTAAATGAGACAGTAAGGAAATCACTTAGAAGGCAACTGGATCTCAGCTTTTTTACAATCCCAGAGCAAATTGTGACCTTCAGTTAAGAAAACATGATAGCTGATATGAAAAAAACTGTTGGTATCAGCAAAAATTCTGGAAAGTGATGTTTGTTTGCAGACAGGGGTAAAGTAATTGCACTTAACCTGAGAACTGTGTTGTAGCTTTGCTTTATTGGCTTTGGTTTTATAAAAGGCAGCATGCTCAAGAACTGAACCTGGAGATGCTACTTCAATGTGTAGCAATATTCAAGAGAGCAATTAGCTTGAACTCCATCCTCAGGCTTTGCCCAGTCAAACTACCAATCCAAGCTGGTGAGGAGGGAAGCAGAGGCCTGGGGTTTAGCTCTGCCTTGTTTCTGAAAGCAATGGCAGTGAGTTCCACACACCTTCTAACCCCTGGTGAATCTCAGGCACAATAAGAAGCTGCAAATATAGAAGTGCTGGGCAACAGGTGAAATAATTATCCAGAGAGGGAATTTAGAAAGGTCAACTGGAAAAAAAAACCTTAAAATACTGTGATCAGCCAGCTGCTTTTTAAAAGCAATTTCCATTAAATCCATCATTGCAGGAGGCAAGTTGCTTCACTCTGTACCTCCTGTTTTTTCCCCAAAAGGTAGCACTAGAGCAGTTGCATGCCCTGGACAGATCTGCTCAGTGTATTTTGCGGATTACTTGTATGGTGCATGACCCTCTGATGTTGCCTCCTTCAGACTTTATGGGTATTATTAGCGCTTGCGCTAGTAAAGGAGATGTCTTTGAGGGCTTATTGGTGGTGGCCTGGCACATGGAAGATAGTGGGGATGATGTGGTGGGTATATAGTAGCTACCTCATGGCCACAGGGAGCAGGGTGCTGCCTTTCTCCATACTGTGAAGAGTTTTGGGGTGCTTGGCTCCCTCCCACCCCCGTGCACTGGTGTGGTACCTGTTTGTGTGGTGCAGTGCACAAAGCAGCTGCTGCTATACTCTGCTGCTGAGCAGCCGTGTTAGCACTGGGCTATTGTGAACACCCCTCAGCCACACACCCCCCAGCCACACACCCCCGTGTACTTGGTGAAAGCCCACTCTCCCTTCCTTGTCCTCTCCCAACATCTGGACCTCCCAGACTACACTGCCTGCCTCCACAGCTCCTACGTCCTGCAAATCCAGTCTCACCCCTTCACTTCTTTGTGCATGCACTCTAGCTCCTGCCACAAGGCTGATTTTTGCCTACAGTGCTGTGGCCCTGCTGACTGGCCTCTCTGTTAAATTCTCATTGCAGACCTGGAGTTCACAGAGGTAGAGAACTGTGTGGGCTTTAATGCAGTTCAGTGTTTGTGATTCCTCACTGGCTGACAAACAAAGTATGTACAACCAAGTTGGAGCTGCTTCAGCTCAGATAATCAGGGCTCGTGCTGGCATCTATACATCAGCATGTTCCATTACGCAAAGCTCGAGGCAAATGCTGCACTATAACTTGGCCTGTTCTACAAGGCAAGGGATGAATGGAGGGATGTTTAAAGATACAAAGACTAATTCCTTGCTCTCTTCATTTCAGTATTCACTGCTGCCCGCATCAGTGCCATTCTCGGTCTTCGAGAATGGAACCATTTTTTCCAGGAAAGAATTTGATTATGAGAAAGATCCACATTGGTGAGAATGTATTTTATTCACGTGGTCTATTAACTTACAGTAGGCAGAGAAACATTTTCCTACATATCTAGTGAATGATTCTTGCTTTGTTTTCTTATTTAACAGTTACTTTTTAAATATAACAGTGACAGATCCAGATGGACTGAACTCGACTAGAACAGTGAATATCAAGATAATTAACATCAATGATGAAAGACCTTACTTTATCACGTGAGTGAAAAAGTTCTGTTGTACTCTAAATGTTGATATTTTGCCAGCTTTACTGCTTTGGCACCAATGGGAGGGTGTAGCAAAAGGGCAAGTAAATATAACAACAAATTACTACCAAAAACAGTATTTTAATTTTGTTATGATTCCTGTTCTTTTACTGGAAAGCTTTGCCCTCATTTCCCTCTATTATTATATTTATATTCTTAATAGCTTCAAGTTTTCCAGGCTCTGCGTTCATGCTAAGAACAGCCAAATAAGCTTGTTGTACTTGTTAGCATCTAGAGAGGTTAAAGCTTTGCAAAGACCTTTGGACAAGTTCAGACAAGGCAATGAATTTTACTCTATGTGAATATAATCATACAGAGTTTACCCTTCATGCAGATGTGCATTTCACCATAATGATGTTTACTCATGGAGAAATGTCTAGACATAAAAAGGTCTCACTTTTGATCTGTCTTCCCCTTCTTCCCAGACTCACTCATGAACAATCCCAGTGATCTTTGAAACCCTGTCCTTTCTTACTGTATAATAAGCAGGAAACTGTGTCAGAACACACAAGTCAGAAATAGCTTTTGAAGACTAATGGAGTTTTAGTTGGAATCAGGAAAATAGCTGAAAATTGGGGAAAATGGGGAAGAATATTTGCCTCCAGCAGGCTGTTTTGTGGTGGAAAGCTCAATGAACAATTGTTTCTGAAGCAGAAGCTTGACAATTACAGTTGATCTGATTTTATTGTTGATTTATCTTTGTCACTTGCATGAGATACTGATTGGATCCAAGACACTACGAAGTTCCTGCGGAGAATAT